GGAGATAGTATTTGACGTGGGGGCGAGTTCATCATCCTAACGTAGCTAGTCTGGCTCTGGGGCTGACATGCTGGCCCGGCTACAGGCTAAGGGGCACTAGGTGCCCTGAAAGTAGAGAAGAGGGCTGGCCTAGGAGTCCCCGAGTGGGCAGGGGCTATGGTTTCTCCCCATACCGGGGCGTGTGGAAGGCCCACTGGACTGCCTCGTGTCCCCCGCCCCCCCAGGTCCGGCACCTCCTCCAGCAGCTCAAGGGCCGGGTGGCCCGGGAGACCATTCAGAAGCTGCATCCAGGTGGCCTGCTGGGTCGACAGCGGCAGCCCCCAGCGCCCATCGAGGTGAGGCAGGTGGCAGGGCAAGGCTTCCCAGAGCCAGACCCTGGGGGTTAGGTTGGGAATCAGGGATGGCAGGGTTTGGCAGACCCCTGAAGGCTGTACCCTCTTGATGCCCTGCCAGGTATGGACAGAGCTTGCTGAGAAGGTGACCGGCCCACTGGAGGACGCCCTGACCGCTGCCTTCTCCCAGGTACAGCCTCTCCCAGATAGAGTACCCCCTCCCCCACCTAGGCCTCCAGTCCAAAACAGATGGCCCAGCTATGAGCCTGGCCAGTCCATGGACAGCCTGAGCCACAGGCCCCCATCTAAGAGGGTCTGGTGATGGTGTGGTGGGGGCCTTTCTCTGATGACCCTGCCCAACAGGTGCTCACCATCGCAGCCACCGAGCCCCTGAGCCTCCTGCACTCTCGACCTCCGAAGCCCACTCGGGCCCGTGGGAAGCTGCTGCTGAGCACCTCAGATGGACTGGAGGCGTCCAACCCTGAGGGCCCTGCCACCTCCAAGGCCCCCACTGAGTCCCCAGCTGGCCCCTCCTCTAAGGAAGACTTCCCTGTGGACTTTGAGAAGATCTACAAGTACCTGGCATCCTTCTCCCGAAGCGGCCCAGGACCGGAGCTCTCTGCAGCTGGTGAGTGTGCAGCCAGTGGGCCCCGCGGGTGGGGGGACACTCAGGTTGTGAGCCAGTCACCTCTAGCTCGCTCCCTTTTTGCTTCCCCCCTAGAGTCAGCTGTGGTCCTGGACCTACTCCTGTCGCTGCCCGAGGAGCTGGCCCGCCTGCCCTGCACAGCACTGGCCGAACACATGACAGAAGCTTACCTGCGCCTGACGGCCCCCCAGCCCAGCCCAGCTCAGGGCAGCCCGGAATCCAGGACTGAGGATGGGAGTACTGGCTCCAGAGGACACGAGGTGCCCAGCCAGGCCATTCCCCAGACCCCCGAGTGTGCTGGGCCCGGTGAATCGAGGTCGGCCTGGCAAGCAGCTGGGGTCTGCCCCCTGAACCCTTTCCTGGTGCCCCTGGAACTTCTGGGCCAGGTGGCCACTCCTGCCACATGAGGATCCTGGCCTGCAGGGGCCACACCTGGACAGCATGCTCCCTTCTGGCAGGGGTCAGCACCTGGGGCTTAGGAACCCATTGTGATGGAGGGTCCTGAACTCAGTGCCCAGCCCAGTGTGGCCTGGAGGCCTCAGGAGCCAGGCACAGTTGGGGGAGGACACAACCAAGGGGGGTAGAGGTGAGGGTGGGGCAGGTGCACGTGCACGGAGAACCCAGGCTACAGGACAGAATGACTGAAGGCCGGCTTTCCCTGCTGCCAAGCCCCTGTGGGCCTCCTTCCTGGCCAGAGGCGCCAAGGGCTGGCACCTCACACAGCCAACCCCCCACCGGCCACCTCTGTCCCAGTCCTTCCTCAACTTCTTCTGTCCTTGCCCCCCTCAGACAAGTGCACCCCTGTTGTCCTGTGAATAAAGTTCTGGTCGGTCAGCCTGCTTGCCTCCCTCCCTGTGAGCTTGAGGTGGGAGGGTGGCAGCGGTGACACCAGAGCCGAGTGTTCGTGCCTGGAAGAGGGTCTCTGCTCCTGGGGGTCACTGTTAGGGACCCGCAGTGGTTGCATGGTTGTGTGAAGAGCAACCTTTGGTGACAGTGGGAAGCTGAGGTCAGAGTGGAGAGTGAGAGACTGGCAGTGGCTCTTGAGAAAGGGCTGGTGGGGGGAGCCTGCCAGGTTCCCTGGGGCCAGCTGTCCGGAAGTGGTTATCGGAACGAGGTGAGTTCCCAGCACACAGCCTGGAGGGGAGAGGTCTGCTGACAGGACTGGCCCAGCAAAGACCCTAAATTCCAGGAGGCGTTGCCCTATGGAAGGGAACCAGGACAGGTCATTTTGTGGAGTGTGAGACATAGGATTCTTAAGCAGGAATCCTGCATACTCTCCAGGCTCCGCCCTCCAGCTCCTGTGTTGTCAGAGCGGGTGAGTTGCCTGCAGGGCCAGAGCATGCACACAGCCTTCCTTTTATAGAATCCTGTTCCCCCACACATTGCACACGGCTCCCCGGGGGCGCACGGCATCTCCTGGGCGAGGAGCCCAATCAGCACACTCCGTGGGCAGGGCCGTGCACCAGACCCACAGTTTCTAGGTGGGCAGGGGTGGTGGTGGTGGGACTGTTGGTGCGGTCCCAGTGCCAGGAGGTGGGACCAGTTCATAGAAACAATATTGCTGGCAAACAGAGCCCCACCCCTGGTTCCCAGTAGCCTAAGTCCACCCAACAAAGGGCAAGGCAGATGCCAGGAGGGGCAGCACCCAGATGGTTACACCCACCTCAATCAAAGCTGGTGGGTGGGTTGGGGTTGCAGTCCTGGAGATGTTGGACAGACCAGCCCTGTTATCTCCGAACCCCAGGACTCCGGTGGCCTGGCATGAAGAACGGGGCTGCTAGGGGGACCCAGCTCTAGGCCCTCCCTCCAGACTCGTGCGGAGGCGCCAATTTGGCACACGCTGCTTGGCTTGTAGGCAGTGCTCAAGAACAACAGCTTTTATTTCCATGACCTGCCCGAAGGCAGGGAGGAGTGAAGGGGGCCTGGGAGAGATGGTAGGAAGCGTCAGAAGAGACAGCGGGTGGGTAAGGGGCAGGGGGCTCTGGCCTGCCAGCGCTCACGGAGGCCTGGATGTGTCCCGGACACAGCAGTGACTGTTGTTCCTTGGGCGGGACACTGGCCCAAGGCTCCATCTCCGGGGCAGGCTGGATGCACAGCGGCAGGCACGTCCACTACGTGGGCTCAGACGTGGCTGCCTAACACCTAAGGGGGATATGAGGACAGGGAGGAGGGGACAGCAGGGCTCCCAGCCCCAGGAACAGACGCTGGCGCTCATGCCTGGTGGCAGGGCAGAGCAAAGCCACCTACACGCTTGGGGCGCTCCTAGCTGAGGATTCGACTGGGAGGCCAGCCATGCTGGTGAAAGGTGGGGAGGACAGGATAGGGCATGAGGGCGAGCTTCGCTTGGCCGAGAGGGGCATCGGAAGGGCGCGAGGGGAGGGTTGGGGCCGCGGGGCGGGGTTCTGGGAGACCCGGCGGAGGCCGGCCGGAGGGACGCGCCCGCATTCAGACCAGCGCGTAGTCGAACTGCCCGCGCTCAAGCGCCTCCTTGTGGTCGGTCCAGGACGAGGCGGGCATGCGGCTGTAGGGGTCGAGCAGGATGCGCACGCAGCGGACCATCAGCAGCACCAGCACCACGAGTAGGCAGAGCACGAAGGCGAACACCGTGCGTTGCTCCGCGTCC